AGATTCAAGGAATCTCTCAAAACGCCAAATAGCCAGGGGAAAATATCCGCCTGAGTCACTTGGGGCATTAGGCATGAGTTTCAACAACGAATCTTGCATGATCAAATGAAGATCTTCTGGTAGCATGGGAACACAACACTACTAACAGTGACAACTCCCTACATCCTGAGAGCATGGGCATAATCGAAAAAATACTACGCATAATCAAAGACCCGCTAGGTCGACTGGCCTAGGCAAAAATAAGGGCTTCCCGACGAACCAAAAGGGTTCGGGCAAAAATAAGGGATGAGAAGAAAAATCTGTACACCCGGCAAGTCGAAAACCTGAAAAGGCGGCTTGGGCAAAAAAGGGTATCCCGATGGACTGAAAACCCGAAAGGGCAGTCCAGGCAAAGTTAGGGATCAAAGTGTACGACTATGTCCCGTCATCTCATCACTTGCCTACCAGAAGAAGATTTGTCAATCAGCAGGTATCAAGCACCTCGTAGGCCTTCTTCACCCGCAGAAACTGGGGAAGTAAGAATTGTCCAAACTATACAAGCTTCTCTGTCCACTGAGGTACCAAGGTAAGTTCAGCTGAAGAATATGACCAAGATACCTTCACTCCCCCGCAAAGTAAGACAAGATTCACCAATACTCTCCCCAAGCAGAGTTGGTCCCCCCATCAGCCCTAAAAAGGCACAGTATCCCCAGCAATTCGATAATACTCTCCCCCGAGCAGAGTTGGTCTACCATCAGCTCTGGGAAGTTGGGTATCCCCAGAAGATCTTAATATTCTCTAGAAGAGTATACTGATATTCCTCAACAAGTATCCCCGGCAGTCTTAATATTCCTCGACGAAATATAAGATTGTTCCCCGGCGGAATACAAGATGCCCCCAGTGGAGCCATTTCCTCAAAAGTTTCCCCAGGAGAGTCGAATCATCTTCCCCAGTAGATTCTGGAAGCTTGTCCCCTACAGAATACAAATATCTCTTCCAGCCATAGGTTATTCCCCACCATAGCCTAACTGGGCTATCCTCAGCATTGCAACGGAAAGATCGTCCTCAGCGAAGTTCTTTCTATCCTCCAGCGGAGTTTATCATCAAAATCCCTAACAGAACTTTTCAACGGAGTTCCCAGCGGAGTTATCATTAAAATCTCAGCAAAACATCTCTTCCCAACAGCGTAATTCCCCGCAGCGTAATCTCTTCACCAGGTTTATTCCCCAACGGAGTCATCTTCTCCTGCAGGTTTATTCTCCCAATCATCTTCGTGCATCATCCTCAGTGGAAACAAAGAATTCAACATCATTCACCAGCAGCTATCCGGGATTTATTTTCCCCAGCTAAAACATCACATTGTCATACATCATGATACATGCATATACGCATCATATCATACGATCTCATTTTGAGAACATCATGCATTTCATACATCATGACATTACATACAACTAACTCTTTACTTGTTCAGGAAAGATCGATCAACAGATAAAAGTCATTACCTTTTGAAGTAGCGGTCGTCAAAGATTCCTTCATCATCCCGTTGAGGTAGTAATCGTCCAAGATTCCTTCATCATCCCGTTGAGGTAGAAGTCATCCAAGATTCTCTCATCATCCTGCTGAGGTAGAAGTCGTCCAAGATTCTCTCATCATCCTGTTGAGGTAGTAATCGTCCAAGATTCCTTCATCATCCTGTTGAGGTAGTAATCGTCCAAGATTCCTTCATCATCCCGTTGAGGTAGTAATCGTCCAAGATTTCTTCATCATCCTGCTGAGGTAGTAATCGTCCAAGATTCCTTCATCATCCCGTTGAAGTAGTAATCGTCCAAGATTCCTTCATCATCCCGTTGAGGTAGAAGTCAACCAAGATTCTCTCATCATCCTGCTGAGGTAGAAGTCGTCCAAGATTCTCTCATCATCCTGTTGAGGTAGAAGTCGTCCAAGATTCTCTCATCATCCTGCTGAGGTAGAAGTCGTCCAAGATTCTCTCATCATCCTGCTGAGGTAGTAATCGTACTAGATTCCTTCATCATCATGCTGAGGTATTAATCGTCCCAGATTCCTTCATCATCTATTTGGAGTATCAATCGTCTCAGATTCCTTTATCACATCATTATCAAAAAACCTCCTTTGGTTCAGTTAAATCGATTCCTAAAGATTTTTCTGACGCCAAACCCGTCAACGAAGACAAAACTATCCATTACAGTTCCAGATGGCATCTATAAGCCCATCCTCCCATCCAGCAATCTTCGGGTGGCATCTATAAGCCTATCCTCCTATCCATCAATCTCCAAATGGCATCTGTAAGCCCATTCCTGACATCACATTGCTGATACTACACCATGCGAGTGCAAATTTCTGGGCACTCTAGTGTTCAATCATCTTCCACCTTCGGATCACGAAAGGCACACAAGCCAATCTACATCCTCAGGTTTAAGAAGATTGAACAGAGGCAACTGTTGTACCCCAAAATTTGCCCTCCCATATCTCTCAAGAGTTGTCAAGAATCATCTTCAAATGGTTCAAAATGGCTCAAGGGTTATACAGTCAAAACATCTCCTAAGACAGCTGAAATTAGGGTTTTGTGTTGCATCAAAGTCCTTACATTCAAATGACCTCAAGTGATCCTTAATGTCCTAACGTATGCTCAAATTCAGAAGATATCCGACTGTGTGAGTTTTCTCGGAGAAATATGGTGAAAAAAGTGTGCTGAAAGTGCAGTTTTTACGCGCTAAAAAATTCATAACTTGAAGATCGTGACTCGTTTTGAACCCGTTCCGGTGGCCAAAATTCCGTCTTGACATTATCTATGTTTTCATCTCTCACGACTGGAAGCCAATTTCGATCAGAAGGTCTTCAAAAATGTGGATTTATCAAGTATTTTCGTACAGAAAATTTGTGACAAGTTTATTTGCGTCATATTCAGAAAATCATAACTTGGTCGATTTTCATCGTATCGAGCTAGTTCCGGCGCCAAAATTTCAAAAATTGAGTTGGATACATTTTCAAAGAAGGTATTGAGTTCAAACGGTATTCAAAAGGCCTTCGTTTTTTGCTCAGAGTGCGTGACGCGCCGAAAATCCTGAATGCTGAATATTATTTCATCTGGGCTGAAACTTCGAAAATTCATAACTCGGTCAATTTTTATCGGATTGGGCTCATATTTTTACACAAGGTCACTGACTCATAGATTTATAACTTTTCTTCAAAAGTCGAGACCGAATTATGCACTGATCAATACCATTTTTTATTGAAAAACGTGTCAGAGTCGACACTGGAGCCCAAAATAAGTTTATCTGAGCTGAAACTTCAAAAATTCATAATTAATTCAACATTTATCCGATTGAGCCGATTTTCTGACAGGAGTTAGTTCTCGATATCGGCTACATTTTGTTTTCACATTTCAACTTCAAAAATTGCACTTAAGTCCCTGCGATTTAGCCTGGAAAGTGACGAACTCAAGTGAATATTGGAGGCCCAATTGCACATTCAAAGCCCATTTTCTTTACCCTAATTTCCATTATATAATCACATTCTTTTCACACGAACCAGAGGAGAGAAAAAAAACCTTGCCACAACGCTATCAGAATATCAAATTCTTTCAAGAACCCTAAAACCTTGAAATCCTTATTACAAATCCCTCTCTCACTACAAACAAGCCATCTTAGTTACAAACCAATATCTCACTACTTCTTCAGTAAGGGTAAAGCTGGCTTGATCTCCATGATCAAAAGGGCATAAAAGCATTCATGTCACTATTTTTCCAGTAAAGGTAAGGTTGATTTGATCTCCATGATCAAAAGGGTATAATCATTCATACATGCCATATTGACCTAAACATTAAATTTCTTCATATATTGACTTTATTTGTATTTTTTGATATATAGTAATGTGTTTAATGTGTTCATGAGATTCAACACTGCAGATTTAGACAGGATCTCATGCAGGTTCATTAAGGAACGTTGAGGCCAAAACACAAATGGCCAAAAGCCAAAACACAAATGGCCAAAATAGAACAACTTACACATGACACCAATACATGGCGAGGCAGACATCCTGAGAAGGTTAAGGAACGTTGAGGCCAGAACACAAATGGCCAAAAGCCAAAATACAAATGGCCAAAACAAAACAGCTTACACATGACGCCAACAGCTGTTTCACCCCTCCAATCAGGCCCGTATACTCCTAAACTCTCTATCTATTTTTATTATTTTCCTTTAATTAATTAATCGTTATTCCTTTTATTAATCACTAACCAATTAACATTTTTTCCTAATAAAATCAAAAACACAAAAAATATTTTATTTATTAAAATTAACTTCATCACTTTTATTTTTGTAAATAAATTAATTTAATCAATTTAGCTTTAATTAGATTTAACTTTTAATATTTTTTGCAATATTTAAAATTAATTTAGATAATTAGGTTTTTATTAGCTTTGATCAAATTTATTTTTATTTCCTTAAATATCAAAAACTCCAAAAATATTTTCATTATTTAATTTAATTTAATTGTTCATTTAATTTAATTCCATTTAATTCAAAAATAACCAAAAAAATCACTTTCTTTCAAAAAAGGGTCAAAACCCTAAGGACTTCTTCAATTCAATTTCTCTCGCGCGCATATTAATTTTTGATCATATTTATGTAATTGCTCCGAGGATGTAATAGCCTTAATTAGGACCTTTTTATCGCTTTCATTTATTTTCCGCATTTACTTTTTCCAAGGGTTTGTTTTTGGCGATGTAAATACCCGACGCCTTGTAATAGCGTAGCTTTACTTTCCGCAACTATTAACTGCTAGATGTATGTTAACTAGGCTATGCATGACAAGACTTATCTTAAAATAAAATCAATCGTAGCTCACCATAACATGTACAAAGATAACATAACTGAAACTTGATACACTCGCACATGCCACTCTTAGGGTACGTCTCACTTGGTTGCCTCGACGTGGTCATTGAGTATAGGGTCACTACGCCAAAAACGAGTTTTGGCACCGCTACTTAGACAGCGCTTATGCAAAAGCGCTGTTGTAAGTATCCAAAAAAAAATACTTTAGACAACGCTTATTAAAAGCGCTGCTATAGGCCTTATCAAAGGCAACGCTTTTTTTCCCTAAGCGCTGCTATAGGGTTTTAAAAAAAATAAAAATTAAAAAATTAATAAAAGCGCTGCTAAAGGGTATGCTTTAGACAGCACTTTCAAAAAGCGCTGCTAAAGGTGTAAGTCTAAAAGCGCTGCTAAAGGGGGGTAAACCTAAAGCGCTGCTAAAGGGGGGTACCTTTAACAGCGCTTCTTGAAAGCACTGCCTTTGTGTAAATCTAAAAGCGCTGCTAAAGGTGGGGTAAGCCTAAAGCACTGCTAAAGGGGGTACCTTTAGCAGCGCTTCTTGAAAGCGCTGCCTTTGGTTTGTTAATTTATTTCTAAACCCCTAACCCCTAAATCAGATTTCCAGAAACACAAAATTAAACCCATATCGTTGTTCATCTTCTTCTCCATTCGTCTCCTCCCAAACTCCCCCTGTCTCACTCCATTACTCCCTTTGTTCCGTCATCTCTCCGATATAACTCCCTCCGGTAGTCATCCAACACCGCCTTTCCCCTGTAACTCGCCATCATTTCCCCTCCTCACCATAAACAAGCTTCCGCCAAAACAACTTCATTCAACCGTTCCATCTTTCTTTTTTCAACTCACCACCGATTCACGCTCCTTCATCATCTGCTTATCCAATCCGCAGCTTTTCTGCCTCCAAGACCACCAAACAGAACTGTAACACCTCCACACTTCTATATCCGCACTACCGGCTACTCCACAACCACCAACCAGACAGTTTCTCGTCAACCAACAATCGCGCACCTCTCAACAACTGCACCGCACCCAACTCACCAATCTGACCATCAATTCATCCGCACCAAGCCTCCGCTACCCGACACCGCCAGATCCACGACACCATCCTCTGACCATACGCTTTGCCACGGTTTCATTCGGTAATATCTTTGTCTTGGATTTTTGTATGATACTTGTGGTTTAGAAATATGAACCATTTTTATGTATCCTTGCAATTTTCATTTTTTTTATTTGGGTCTAGTTTACTCAAAATTGAAAAGGGGGTGGTGTTGTTCTTCGAGAGAGAAAGAACAAATCTCCAGGACAAGCATTTCCATTAGGTGTATCACAAGTCGACAACGGGATCAACTTTGCTATATTTTCACAACATGCAACTGCTGTCGCACTTTGTTTGGTCCTTCTTGAAAGGTAAATTTAGATTTAGTTTTGTGTTTCGGTTTAAGCTTAATAAAATTTATATGTTTGAAATACATCTGGCATATTTGATTTAAGCCACATACAAGCATTTTTGTGACAAACCTTTAATTTCTAAAACTTGCTGGGGAACACTTTTTGTGTGTGACAAAAACCATCATTTTCCCCCTATTACAAATGGTCTCACTAGAAGCTTCCGAAAGTAAGCTGAACCAAACATGAAACTAACCTTATATGTGCTCCCCTCAATGATTTGTCAATGTATATTTGCTCAAAACTGTTATATGTCAAGAGATAGATCTTGATTATTAAGGATTGAAATTTTTGCTTTGATTTGTCAAGAGATAGATCTTTGATTTGTCAATTTATATTTATTTTTATAATGTATTTTAGGGAAAGCATTGATACACTGGATGGTGGTATGATAGAACTGGCTTTGGACCCTCATTTAAACAAAACAGGGGATGTTTGGCACATATGTATTGAGGTTCTTTCTGTGATACTGCTTGTGCCTGATTATAGCCTTTCCATGGTTTTTGATTGAAATTGTTGCTATATGCTTTGTAGCTTACTTAAAAAAAATACAATTTGTGCAATTATCAAGTACCTTTCATAATTGCATAGATAAATAACATTTTTTTTCTGTCTATTTGAGTATAAATTTTGTATATTTTATGCTTTATTTCAAGTGCATTATTCTTGTGCCAAAAACTTCTCTTGGCTAGTCAAATGTGAATTCTATTTGCCTTTACTCTTATATGTTCTGACAATAGTGGATGGAAGTATGTGAGATGTCTTTGAGTTGAATACTGATGCACCTCATTAAAAGCTTTGAAAGTAGTTGGAATCAAACTTCATGCAGTCTTACTATAATGATTATATAGATAAAATTTTCCATTTTAAATTTGATGAGATTTTTTCTCACCTTTATGATATTAAGCAGAAACTTACATGGGTAAGGAAATACATTGAAGAAGACATTGCGTATTAAAATTGGAAAACATCAATTACTGTAATAGCATCTTCCGTTGTCGAAGATATCTTTACCTAAACTGTTGTTAGTTTACTTTGCACAAATTCTAGATAATGCTGTTATATTTTAGAGGCTGATGTTGATGCCTGTTGAGCTACAAGCTCGTTGGCTCCATATTTTCATTTCTTCCATTTTATGCAAGTTCAATATTTCTCCAATTATGCAGAGTTAGTGCATATTTCTGTTACAAAGCTCCCTAAACTCCTCTCCTCCCAAATGTGAGTGTACGGCTCGCTTGTATATGATCATTTCTCCCCTATTTAATTCAGTTAGTTACAGTAGTGACAACTGTTGCATGCTGACTGTATTTGTTTATTAGTGTTAGCCCAGTCTATAAATATAGATCCGAGGCTCATCACATGTAACAAGAATTCGTTTGGTCATCAATCAATAAAATGAATTCTCAGGTTCTCTCTAATTCAAACACTGGACAGCTATTCAAAATGCACATTTAGACATTTAGTTAATATATTGTTTTCACCTCTCATTGTGAAGGATCTTCCTGGGAGCAATGTTTTGTACGGGTATCGAATAGATGGATCTCAAGACTGGGGTAAGGGGCATCGGTTTGACAGAAGCATTGTGCTTGTTGATCCTTATGCAAAACTAGTTGAAGGTCGTAGATATTTTAGGGATATTAGCAAGAAGTTGTCTAAGTTTCTGGGCACATATGAGTTTGACAGCTTGCCTTTTGACTGGGGAGAGAATTATAAGCTTCTAAATATTGCCGAGGTATTCAGCCTGCATAAATTATAGTTGTTCGAAAATGATATTCATAAAATCTTTTCTCTAAACCAAGGCTTCATCTAAATTGCTTTATTCTTAAAACAATATGTAGATTTTGTATTCTACCTTGATGTTGATCTCTAGTGTTTCTTTTCCTTTTTAGTTGATGAGAATATGATTGCGTATTGTATGTTTCTAGATGAAGTAAGTCCAATTTATGGATTCATTATGCTCTTGCTGCAAATGCAGAAAGATCTTGTTATATATGAGATGAATGTACGTGCATTTACAATGGATGAATCTAGTGGATTGGATAACAACATTCGTGGAAGCTATCTTGGTGTGATTGAGAAGGTAACATCTTTGCTATCATTGGGTATTCAACTTAATAAGGTGTATCGATGTTTAGTGGTTGCATGCCACCTCCAACTTTTGGAACTATATTTGTGTTGTTTATTAATTACTATATGATTGGTGCTTACTATTTATTGTATGTCTTTATTTAAACTCATTTTGTTGCTTGCATATAAGATCCCACATCTTCTAGAGCTTGGTATCAATGCAGTGGAGTTGCTGCCTATCTTTGAGTTTGATGAGTTGGAATTGCAAAGGCGACCGAATCCTAGAGATCACATGGTAAATTAGAAAAGTATTACGTTCTATTTTGAAGTCAAGGCTTCATAACGGACTTTTTTAGTGTGTACTGTATATCCCCAGTAAATAAAGGAATGGATCTTCTGCATTTCTCATTCTATCAATTTTCTCCATTACTATGGTATTGGGATTATTGAATAAAGCATGATAATGTGATATTAGACGAGCTTGAAATTTCCCCTATACACCCCAAAACTATAGAAAGGAGAAATATAGAGGATCCATTCCTAATAAACAAATATATAAAAACAATTGTATTCTTTCTGGCTGTATATCCATATCTATTTTTCTTTGATGAATGAAGAGATCAGAGTATGTAATGTGTATTTTTCTTTGATGATCAAAGAGATCAGAGTATGTAACTTTTACTTGCTAAGTGGCATTATATGATAGTAACATCTGTATTTTTGCTTTCCAAGATTAATACGTGGGGTTATTCAACAATAAATTTCTTTGCTCCTATGAGTCGCTATGCTAGTGCTGGAGGAGGACCAGTTAATGCTTCCCAAGAGTTCAAGCAAATGGTTAAAGCCTTACATTCTGCTAGCATAGAGGTAATTATAGTAGTATTTCATTGTAGCAACCTTTGAGTGGAAACGTGCTTAATATTTTGATAACCTGATTCTGTCTTATTTTAAATCATTTCAAGATTTGTATATCTCTTGCAATAAATCTTATTCATACATAGGTTATTTTGGATGTTGTCTACAATCATACTAATGAGGCTGATGATCCCAATCCTTACACTACTTCATTTCGTGGCATAGATAATAAGGTAATTTCTTATTTGTAATTTTATTTTTGAACGACTCTTATTTGTACGTTATAATATTTGCAGTGTCTTTATCTTGTTCTATATAGTTTTAATGTTCTTACAGATTAGCATGTCTTACGGTCTGATAGAGTGTCAGACACCAAAGTGTGTCCAACACTGGGACATGCCTAATCGAAGGAGTTTTTGTGCTTCATAGTCAATGAATTTGTCTCCTTTGAAAATTTATTAGTATAGCACAAACTTACTCTATTTAATAATTCTTCAACAATTGAAAACAATTCAAGGTAAGTTTCTCTCTCAAGTATTCACATGTAGTTAGAAACACGATATATGGCTTTGGTAAAGTGGTATCATCTATTAACAAATGTTTTGTCATCTTGTTTTTGTTATGTAGAATGTTAAAAAAGTATTTGCTTTTTCTGTATGTAATCTTTCTTCATTTCTATAGGTTTATTACATGCTAGACGACAAAGGACAATTGCTGAACTTTTCTGGCTTTGGTAATTTTATGTTTTTCTAATCCTTAAGAATCTATTCTAACTGCTTCGTTCATACAAATTTACATTTTCACACAAAATAGGTAATGAAACAAAAACTTGAAAATAACCCTCTAATTAATAACATCAAATTGAGGGCTACAATATTCAAAAGGAAAATACCCTTCAGCTCCCAGAGCTATGTGACCAAACCAATTGCGGAGTTTTCCCATAACTAAAATGCTGAGCGTCCAAGTCATGAAACCAAGTAGTATCCATTCCCTTAAATTTATGAATAAGTTGCAAAGCTTTTCTTTTTTTTCACAACACAAATTAGCAGTAATATATAGAGGAACTGTGCTTTTTTTTTCTTCAGGGTTGGGATAATGCTACCATTGCTGGTAATTTTCTTGCTTTTTTCTTTGATTCTTCTAATTTGGTTGTTTATAGATTTAATTAGATGGTTAGTAATTACAACTTACAAGGTTTTTTTTCTTCAAATTCGGCTTATTTGTTTACGGATTAGATTAGATGATTACTAATTATGATTCAGGTTCAAATGAATTTGATATTCAAATCATTGATCTTAGTTTGTATGGTTAAATGATTCAATTTGTTGTTTTTGTATCGGCTGAATCGGATCTAAGATATGTCTGGATTCAGTTATTTGTGTTTATCTGCTAACATAAGCACTTCTGAGTCTGTTTTAATATAAGCTATAAGCTTATGAATCCATCTTATAGCTTATGTGAAAACTTCATTTTATTTTTTCATATAGAAATAAATAGCTTGTACATAAGCACTTATATGATATAAGCACTTAATTAAGATGTTTGTTCGAATAGGTTCTAGTATGGTCCAATTTAACAAGCAAAGTGTTTCAGTAGGAATTGTATGGTGTGAGTTGCTTATTGAATGCTTATTTTTCATGTTTGTTTGTAGGTTCGATTCTTTACATTAAGAAATACCTTGCTTTGCAAACAACTATGGAAGGGCTTGTGGTGGCCATGTCGCTAATTGGAGCTACTGTCATTACGACTTGCTCTGGTCCCATCTCAGATTGGCTTGGTCAGAGACAAATGTTGATAATCTCACCCGTGCTGTATTTCTTGGGTAGTTTGGTGATGTTATGGTCTCCTAATGTTTATGTGTTGTGCTTAGCAAGGCTGCTTGATGGATTTGGCATTGGCCTTGCCGTAAGTCTTGTTCCGGTTTATATATCGGAGACTGCTCCCTCCGATATAAGGGGATCGTTGAATACACTTCCCCAGTTCAGTGGTTCTGGAGGAATGTTTTTATCATATTGTATGGTTTTTGTGATGTCATTGAGTGCCTCGCCTAGCTGGAGAGTAATGCTCGGGGTTCTCGTTATTCCTTCTCTCTTCTTTTTTATATTGACATTATTCTTCTTGCCCGAGTCTCCTCGATGGCTCGTGAGTAAAGGAAAGATGCTAGAAGCTAAAAAGGCTCTCCAACGATTACGTGGCCAGGAAGATGTGTCAGGTAATGTTACTATATCTAAACCAATTTCATCCATTTGAACAAGGACAGCGTCTCTTTACGTAATGTTGGGTTCATGGTTACTTAGTTTCAGACAAACGTTAAAATTTTAATTGAAAGTATGCACTTAATTGAACTTTGTTCAAGCTATAGCACTTAATTGTATTGATGTGTTTTGTGTTTGATACCGTTCATTTCTTCACACATTCTCTTTTTGCCTTTTTATTGTTAATTTTGTCAATTTTTGTTTTTGTGAATTGTTTCCAACTATTTTTTGATCTGGATTTTTGTTGGACTGATATGGATTAAAGCAAGTCTGACTGGTTCAATTTGGAAAGTTTGAATGCAGGTTAAATTATTTTATTGAAAACTGGTTTGAATTATGGAATGTATGAGGATGATTTGGGATATGTAAATGGCGTTTGTTACAAGTTCTGGTAGGTTCAATTTGTGATGTTGATGATGGTTTCGCTGCAGGAGGGTATGAATGAATTTGGATGTGGCATAAAAGTTGCATACTAAAAGATCACGATGTTTTTGATACTTGGCCTTGAAGATGATAATTTGAAGATGAAGAAGCCTGGGAATGAAGGATGAAGTTATCGAGACCAAAGGCTTGGTCTTGAAGCAAACTTGAAGAGACTTTTTTAGAATTAGGTCTAGAACCAAATCTTTGTATAATTTTCCTTGAAATTTGTAAAGGATGACTTTTCTTGCGTTGATGTATTGGTGCCTTTGAATTTGGAGCGTCCTTGCATTTTGTACACTTTGTAATTAATGGTAAAAAACTCCAAGTATTCAAGCCAACTTTCTTCTCCAAATTGCATACTCCTTTCTTTGATCTTGAAGTATCATTGATAGAATGATGATGAATATTGTGGACTTTGATGATGAATGTATTTGAAATTTAGCTTCACAATTCGAACTTGAATGATGATGAATAATGTTGAATAGCAATTGAACTTAAATTTTTTAAAAAAATAAGGAAAAGCGCTGCTAAAGGGGGGGGGGGGGGGGGGTAATAGACAGCGCTTTTCATGAAAGCGTTGTCTAAAGTGATTGAAATTTTTTTTTTAAAAAATAAGGAAAAGCGCTGCTAAAGGGGGGGTAATAGACAGCGCTTTTCATGAAAGCGCTGTCTAAAGTGATTGAAAAAAAAATTAAAAAAAAATGAGGAAAAGCGCTGCTAAAGGGGGGGTAATAGACAACGTTTTTCATGAAAAGCGCTGTCTAAAGTGATTGAAAAAAAATTTAAAAAAAAAAATGAGGAAAAGCGCTACTAAAGGGGGGTAATAGACAGTGCTTTTACCAAGCGCTGTCTAAAGTGATTGAAAAAAAAAGCGCTGTCTATACCTTTAGCAGCGGAGGTTTTAGCAGCGCTTTTAAGTGCTGTTAAAGGCCTAAAAAAGCACTGTCTAATCCCTTGTTTGGCATAGTGGGTGTTTTAGAGGTCGCCCTCCTGTCTAAAGATCAATGTTGCCTCAGAACGGTTGCCTCGATAAAAAACGATCTAAGACATTAGGGTTACCGCTAAGGCGTCCTACTATTGCTTTGGTGACCACATGTCCCTATAATCGAATTGACCCGAAACTCCAATGACGGTGCTACCTACTTCTCAATATTGGGATAGTACTGTCTAAAGGACATTTACACAGCTTAATTTCTTTTGAGTAGGTAGAGGTTCTCAGGTACTTGCTCTTTCAAAACAAAAATACTTTTCGCACTTACACTTTTCAAAACAAAAGTTTTCAAACAACACTTCATACGCTCTTAAGGACAGATACAAGAGTTAAATCGAAGTTTTCAAACAAAACTTTTTCAAAAACCCACAAACACAAGAAAAGAAAAACATTTTGAAAACACAATGAGCAAGTACCTAAGAGTCAGTGGATAACCACGGATAGAAAGGGTGCTAACACCTTCCCTTTCTATAATCTACCTCTCGAACCCGAGAAACATCTCGAAAAGGAATTTTGATGTGCTTTTGTCCTTTCCTTGTTGGAGAAAATAAAAGACGGTGGCGACTCTTGCTTACCGCGACATACGCGAACCAGCATTCCAAAACAGTCAATTCTATTTCCACCGATCACAATGTTGATGATATGATAGCCAGGTCTCAGACTGAGGAAGAGCACCTTGATCATCTCCAGAAATTGTTTGACGTGTTGAAGACATACAAGCTGAGGTTAAATCCGAACAAGTGTACCTTTGGGGTAAGATCTGGTTAACTTCTGAGTTTTATCGTTAGTGACAAGGGTATTCAGGTAGACCCTGCCAAAGTAAAAGCTATACAAGAAATGCCAGCTCCTCGTACAGAGAAGGAAGTTAGGGGTTTCTTGGTACGTCTGAATTACATCGCCCAGTTCATTTCACATCTGACTGCTACTTGTGAGCCAATCTTCAAGCTTCTGAAGAAAGATCAAGTGGTAAAGTGGAATGATGAATTCCAGACCACTTTCGAAAGAATCAAGAAATACCTTCAAGAACCTCCAATTCTGATGCCTCCAGTTGAAGGAAGACCTTTGATATTATACTTGACAGTGCTAGACAATTCAATGGGGTGTGTGCTGGGGCAGCATGACGAGTCTGGTCGAAAAGAGCACACAATTTATTACCTTAGCAAAAATTTACTGACTGTGAGACACGATACTCATTGCTCGAGAAAACATGTTACGCTTTGGCATGGGTTGCTCGCCGACTGAGACAGTATATGCTGACTCACACTACCTTGTTGATATCAAAGATGGATCCGATCAAGTATGTTTTCAAGAAGTCCGCTCTCTCCGGAAGGATAGCAAGGTGGCAAATGATCTTAACTGATTATGACATACAATATACAACCCAAAAAGCAATAAAAGGGAGTGTATTGGCTAATCATTTGGCTCATCAGGCCGTGGATGATTACCAGTCCATGAATTTCGAGTTCCCAGATGAGAATATTATGTTAGTGACTGACTACGAAGAACCTGGACCGGATGAAGGACCTGAGGAAGGATCCTGATGGTCTATGTATTTTGATGGAGCCTCGAACGCACTAGGTAACAACATTGGTGTTGTAATCATATCTCCCGATGGCTGTCATACTCCGTTCACCACCCGATTATATTTCAACTGTACCAACAACATGGTAGAGTATGAAGCATGTATCATGGGTCTTCGAGCTGCTATTAACCTAAGGATTAAGTTTTTAAGTGTATTCAGGGATTCCGCTCTGGTGATAAGTCATATCAAAGGCGAGTGGGATACGAAGCACCTGAATCTCATCCCTTACAAAGAGTATGTACTGACATTTCTCCCATACTTTGAGGAGATAACCTTTAAACATTTCCCACAAGAGGAGAACCAGTTGGAAGACGCGCTAGCTACCATGTTTTTTATGTTCAAGGTTAGGTGGGACAATGAAGCTCCCCAAATTACCATTGAGAGGTTGGATGAACCAGCACACTGCTTTGAAATCGATACCAAAGTAGTGGCAGACAAACACTGGTTTCACGAAGTCAAAAGGTATCTCGAGGCTCAGAAGTATCCCGAAGGGGCATCTGTCAATGATAAGAAGTTTCTGAGAAGGTTCCCTGCAAAGTTCTTCCTCGGTAATGGAATCCTCTACAAAATCAATCATGACTCCATAATACTACGTGAGACAACCGACTGACCAACCAACTGATAATGAAATCAATGAAGTCGCCATCGAACATTTTTTATCCCACAAGAGGGGAAAGGTAAACATCGAGTAAACTTGAGAAAGGTGAAATCAAGGTCGAACGACCAAGAGGTAAGGGTAAGGGAGTCTGTTACGCGAGGGGAAGGTATTAACACCCCACACGCCCGTAGTACTCTACGGTATCCACTCTTGTTATCTATCTTATGGGTGTGTTCAATTTATGCTTACTGTTTACTATACTACTGAAGGGAGAATGCATGCAAAAGGAATGAGAAAAGAATGTAGGGAAAAATAAAATTGTTGTGCTCGTTCGGGCCCTACCCCGATGCCTACGTATCCCTTTTAAGGAATCAGAGCAGCCGTAGTTCGGCTAACAAGTTTTTGTTGGTTTGTATTTTTTTAATGAACAACATTAATATCGCCTTCTGCCGCAACTCGACCTTTGGAGATTTATGCGTCAGCATAGAAGTGAATTAACATGTTATTTTTGAAGAGAGTTTGAAAGAAAAGCCTGAAGGCGCAAAAGAGTTTGCATTGGTTGATATCTTTTACCTTGAAGAAGGATTTGGAAGTTGTTAGATGTTTTGTGCTTTTTTTTCAAGAAAAAATTTTTAGTCTTAATGCATGGATGCAAAATAAAGAAAAACATCTAAGGGAGACTAGTATAAATCTATCCCTAATGTTATCATACAATGATTGATCCTAAGATTGAGTTTTGAAGGGAAATCTCTACCCTATGTTAACATGCTTGGATAACAATCCTAATGTCTATCTCAACTCATCATCTATAGATGAATCAAGAAGTCCTAAAGGAGCATAGCAAGGGTCTATCACCTAAAACTATGTCTGTCTCGAATCATCATCTATAGTCGAATCGAGAGCTCCTAAGGGAACATGCAGAGGATATATCATCTTAAAACATGTACGCAAAGATGAAATCAGACAGATAAGCCAATAAGCTCCATAGAGTTAGCTCAAGCGAGCACCACTAGAGAGAATCTATATAGGCTACGATTACCTAAGAAAGTCTAACAAAACTATCCTATATGGAACATGCAATGAGAGCAAAGTCGTGATCTCAATTTCTAAATTGAGTGACTCATCAATCAACAAGAAACAAAGGAAAGCAATGAAATCCTATAGGGAGCATGCACTGAGAGCGAAGTCTTGATCTCAATTTCTAAATTGAGTGACTCGTTGATCAACAAGAAAGTAAACAAACACAAGCACAACACATATAGCAAATGAAGTGCAAAATGCCTGCTACAGGTTAAACAGCGACTTCGAGCGCACGCTCTTTATTTCCTACTTCTCATGATATCTAAAAAACAGTAAAGTACTGAAACGAGATAAACAAGGGAAAATACCAAACGGATATCA